GGTTTCATTTGCAACATGGGCTGGTGCATGTCTCTCTCTCTCTCTCTCTCTCTCTCTCTCTCTCTCACACACACACACACACACACACACACACAGTGCTCAGGATTGTTATCTGACGCCCCTGCTGACAGGTGAGAGGCCAGGGACCAAGCACCTTCAGGAACTGTCTCAAGGTCAGGACCAGCGCTGAGCTCCCCCATACCCCACTAGCCAGAGCAGGGAGAGGAGCCCCAGTTTCCCCAGGCACTTGGCCCTGGCACCCTCACCACATTCACGTGGGCGCCTTGAAAATGCCCAGGGGGTGGCCTGGGCTGTGGGATCCAGATTCTAAGATGCAACGATGGTGGGTTCCTAGGAAGATGTGGGCTGCTGTGCTGGCTGGGGTCCCAGAGGTGCAGCTCTGAGGTGGGCAGGCCGTAAGGCAGCCTGCTACGAACGGTGAACCCAACAAGGCGGCATCCCCTGCGGGGGAGCAAGGCCTCGCTACCCCCTGAATCCCTGCCTCAGTGTGGCAGCCAGGGGCCAGGGGGGTCCTTTCTCAAATTGCCCCTGCCAGCCACCTCTGCCGAGCCTCAGCCTCCCCCCACCGCTGTTGGTGGTGCCTCGGTGTTCTGGGTGTGGCTCCTGCCTCCCCAACAGACGAGGCCCCCCCTGAAAGGCCAGGGTCCTGGGTGTCAGGTCAGCAGCTCACAGGTGGCAGCCGGGGGCCCAGTTCTCAGGGCGCCCTTGTCCAGCTGCAAAACAGGGCATCTCAGAGCCTGGCTCTCCCCAGGCAGCCCCAGGGAACCTGCTGAGTAGCCCACATCCCGCTGTCTGTCCAGGGTCCTGCATGTGAGAAGTGGCAGGAGGCAGCAGCCAGGGCCTCAGATTGGGGACCCAGAGACGTGGCCACTGCATGTGGGTTTTCAGATGAGTGGGGGCAGCAAGGAGACAGCTCAAAGCTGAGTCTGCCTTTCGGAGACGGCAGAGATTTCCCGAATTTGGAGGCTCTGGGCCCGCACCCACCTTTGGATAGAGCCCGAACGCACTTCTCACGCACCTGAGGCATCTGTGGGTCGTTGATATCCCAGCTGAGCCTCAGCCCCGGAGGCCCCGGGGCCACCCTGGGTAGCGCGTCCAGGGCCATCGGCCACGTAGAATGTCCTGAAGCTGTGGGCCCTAGGACTGCAGGGACCTGGCCTCTCAAAGAGAAAGGGGAGGAGAGGGTGGCAACTTATTTTGAGTTCCAGGAGCCTGGATAAGGGAGCCCATTCCCCCAGGTGCTGAGGTGAACACCCCCAGCACACACCTTTATGGAGACCCAGCCCAGCCCCGCCCCTGGGGCCCTGCAGAGCCAGACAGTCCTCCTGGCAGAGGTGGGGGGGGGCAGGGTCAGGAGCAGAGGAGGGGCTGTCTCCAGGAATTTGAAACTGTCTTTTCTAGCCTGCTTTCTAGCCTGCCACCTCCAGGGTTTTATTGGGCTTAGGGGGTCTGAGGGCAGTATCTGGGTGGTGTCCCAGCACCTACCCACCCCCAACCGGCGCCCAGGGAGCCAGGCACTGGGGTCAGGTTGTGCACCTGTGACCCTAGCCAGGTCTCTGTCCACCTCACTCTAGCTGCGTGCAGGGATCTGTGCCTGTCTGGTTTCTAGGGGCCGTGGGGAGTTCCCTCGCGGGGATGCCAGGATGGCAAGGTTCCTGGGCACAGATCTGGGTGCAGGCTGCTTAGTGGGCACAGAGGTGCCCCCTGGGAGGTGGCCAGGCAAATGCGGGAGGTGGCTGCAGAGGAGGGGTGCACCAGGCCTTGGGGACCTCAGTCTGCAGTGCCTCCCCCTTCCTCCCGCTCTGTTTAAGGAGGGGAAGGGAGCTCTGTGGGTTTCCCAGAAAGAAAGAA